TCATGATCTCAGCGTTGTGGGATGGAGGCCCTGCATTGGGCTCTGCACTCAGCCCAGAGTCTGCTTCTCTCTCTCCCTCTCCTTTGCTCCTCCCCGTTCATACTCTCTGAAGTAGAGATTTCTCTCTCTTCTCTCTCTCAGAGTAAGAGAGAGAAGAGAGAGAGAGCACACACAAGCAGGGGGAGTGGCAGGCAAAGGGAGAGAGAGAAGCAGTCTCCCCACTGAGCTGGGAGCCCGATGCAGGGCTTGATCCCAGCACCCTGGGATCATGACCTGAGCTGATGGCAGATGCTTAACTGACTGAGCCACCCAGGCACCCCTATAAATAAAATCTTAAAAGAAAAACACAAAAAAAACAAAAAACAAACAAGAGTCCACACTCTGCTTAAGCTTACATTCTAGTCGAGGGACATAGACCATACACAGCACGATAAAATATACAGTACATTTAAAATTTGGAAATATACAAATAAAACTCAAGTTGAGAAGAGGGGGGTAGACTAGGAGTAGGGTATAGTTTTACATAGGATGACTAAGGAAGGCATACTAGGAAAGTGATATATGAGGAAGTAAGGCAGGAAGATTTGGAGAGAAAGTTTCCAGGGGGAGGAGAACAGCAAGTACAAAGGCCCTGAGGCAGAGTCTAGAACTCTGGCCCCTTGCTTCCTGGTCAGGACTCTACCCACCACAGTGTCTTGTCCCAGACTACCAGCAAAGCCTCAGGGGTCCAAAGGTGGACAGGTTCAGCCCTTGGGTCAGGGCCCCCCATTTCCCCATACTCCTGGACAGGAGTCTGGTGCACTAGGGTTATGGGAGGCGTTGCACTTCTCATTGCCAACCCTGTGTCAGTGAACAGCCCACAAGACAAAGGGGCCTCCAAATCACCAGGAAGAGAAGGAGGGAGGCAGGCAGGAGGTTAGAGGGCATTGGTGTGGAGCTCAACAGCCTGTCCTGGGTCAAAGTTCACACGCCTTTGCGTGAGAAGATCTTTGGCTAGGATTCCCTAACCATCGATCCATCTGCTACCAGGAACACGGGGACAGCGGGGCAGTGAGGAGGGGAGAGGGCTCTGGGCTGAGGGTCTCGGACCGACCACCACTGTTTGGTCAGCACTGCGGAAGGCCATGGGGGGTGGGGCGGGGGATGGAGAGACAGTAAGATCCGCAACAAACCCCTCCCCCACGGGGGAGACGGAAAGCATGCCCCAAACACAGCCTGTGCTGAATCTGGAAATGCTCCAGGAACTGTGAGAAGGCTGAGACCCCGGGGTGGGGGCGGGTAAGGGGCTCGGCAGGAGGGTAGACTAAGGAGAACATAAGGGGGGGCATTCCAGGCCTGGGGAGGAGGCAGGGCAATGAAGAGCGGGATTTAGGGCGCCTGGGTGGCTCAGTTGGTTAAGCGACTGCCTTCGGCTCAGGTCATGATCCTGGAGTCCCGGGATCGAGTCCCGCGTCGGGCTCCCCGCTCAGCAGGGAGTCTGCTTCTCCCTCTGACCCCCTTCCCTCTCGTGCTCTCTGGCTCTTATTCTCTCTCTCTCAAATAAATAAATAAAATCTTAAAAAAAAAGAGCTGGATTTAATTGTTTTACCAATTATTAATATCTTGCAAAGGCTTGGTTTATTAATCTATTTCCCCCAGGCTGGGGTTCGTTCCGTGTTAGGACATGGAGGAAGGAAGGAATGACAAGTTGGGTTGAGGTCATAGCAAGGGTCAAGTGCCCTGAGAGTTACTATGGAGGAGTGCTGGAAACATAGATCAGGAGACACTGAACTAGCTGTGGGGAGGACTTGGGGTGGGGTAGGGGCTTCCCAGACGACGTGATGTTTTACCTGAGATTTATTTATTTATTTAAAGATTTTATTTATTTATTTGAGAGAGAGAGAGCACAAGCAGGGGGAGGGGGATTGGGGAGAAAAAGGGCAGAGGGAGAGGGAGAAGCAGACTCCCCGCTGAGCGGGGAGCCTGATGCCAGGCTTCATCCCAGGACCCTGAGATCAGGACCTGAGTCAAGGCAGACCCTTAACCGACTGAGCCACTCAGGCGCCCTTATTTATTTTTTTTCCCAAAGATTTATTTATTTATTTTAGGGAAAGAGAGAGAGGGGGAGAGAGAGAGAGATGGCATGTGCAGTGGGGGAGGGGCAGAGGGAGAGAGCGAATCTCAAGCAGACTCCCCGTTCTATCTCATGATCCTGAGATCATGACCTGAGCCGAAAATCAAGAGTCGGATACTTTAACCGACTGAGCCACCCAGGTGTCCATTAGATGAGATTTAAAATAGGGGAGATTAGAAGCAGGAGTGGTGGGGCTCCTTGCTCAGTGGGGAGCCTGCTTCTCCCGCTCCCTCTGCCCTTCCCCCTGCTTATGTGCACTCTCTCTAATAAATAAAAAAAATTAAAAGTGTGATACCTTAAGAAAAAAAAAAAAGAAGAAGTAGAGGTGGTCCAGCCTGGTAGGGTCTGTCAAAGATTCTGGTTTTCCTTCAGATGGGAACTACTGAAGGGGTATGGTTGTGACAGAATGAGATTTCCCACTTTTGAAAAGACCCCTCTGGATGCCACAGGCTTGAGAAGGAATTGGAGGGAGTGACAGGCAAGTGGGAACCAGGTTTGGAGGCTATTTTTACTCTAGGGAGCAATGAAGGGATCCCGGCGGAGGATGGGGAGGACGGGGAGGATAGGGCAGTGGGGCTGGACAGATGTCAGGGGGGCAGCAGCCTACCCTCCACACAGTCTAGATCTTCCTTGCCTCAGACCCCACAATGTGTCCCGCTCACACACAGATGTTTCTCAAGGGGGTGCTCTCTGTACCTGGAGAGGGGGTCACTCGATGCTAGGAGAAATCCCTCACAAGACCACTGCCCATTTTCAGTGCACCTGGTCCTGGCCACCCTCCCCTCCCAAGGACCACCTTTAGGGGCCTTTGAACTTGCTGTTTCCTCTGCTTCCAGATACTTGTGCGCCTTGAGTCTTGATTCCACACTCTTGCCTCTGCTCAGTGTCATTTTCTCAGTGAGGCCTTCTCTGACCACCCTATTTTTAAAAGTAGGTTCCAAACCCAAAGTGGGTCTTGAACTCATGACGTCGAGATCAAGAGTCGCTTGCTCCACCAACTGAGCCAGCCAGGCGCGCCTGACCACCCACCCTATTTTGATTTGCAAATTTCCCCAGGGTTTTCTACCCCTTCTCTCCTGTATTTTTCTCTAAAGCACTTTTCACCCTCTGACATTTTCTATGCATTATCTGGCCCCGCCTCGTCCCGTCCCCAGTGTAAGGTCCATGTGAGCAGGAGCAGTGTCAGTTTTGTTCACTTGTATATCAATCGCCAGCATCCAGGACAGTGCCCAGCACATACTAGGCGTTTGGTAAATATTTGTCCAATGTTTGAGTGGAGCGTTGAAGGGGCGGGATGAGGCTCTGCTTCTGGTTGGGCCAGCGGGTGGAAGTGTCATTCACTGGGTCGGGGAGCATGGCGGGGAGGGCGGGTGATGTGGTTAGTTGGGGACAGGATCAGCAAGACAAGCAAATGCGGCTCCCCCCACTCTGCCCCGCGCGCGTTCTACAGCGGGAGGGCTCGGCAGCGGCAGGGGCAGCGTCTGAGGCAGCCAGCCAGAGCCAGCCCGAGCCAGCCAGGCGAGCCGTGTGGCGCTGGGGCTGCGTGTCCTGCCACAGGCGTGGACCACAAATACCACACACGCAGGCTCCTGCTTGCAGGCAAAACCCTAGCTCCGCACGCAAACCTGGTCCATTTGCACCGCCCGCCCGCTCAATCCAATCGCTCCTTCCCCGTTCCTCTCACTCCTCCCTCACCTCCAGGCTCGCCTAGAGTCCGGCTCTTTAAGAGCCCCGCCCCCGACTCCTCTCCCCTTCGCGTGACTGTGCCGGGACCCGAGGTGGGGAGTCTGGCAGCTGGGTGGCTGCGCCCGTCTCCGGGCCCTTCTCACGCAACTCCCGGGCACCGCGCCCCCGGCCAGGTGGGGCGGGGATGGGCCGCGTGACCTCTGCCCCCTGGAGGGGTGTACTAGACGCTTGCACGCTAGCCCGGGGAGGCTTCTGCGCTGGGCGCCCCCTCCTCTGCCCGGCCGGAGGGTCCCCCTCTCCTCGGCCAAGGGGAGCTAGCCGCACAGCCCCACTCGCCGCAGCACAGCCCCACTCGCCGCCCGATTTCTCCGCCCGGCCAATGAGCTAGCAGCCCCGGGAGTCAAGAGGGAACCTCGAGGGCCTGTGGGTGCCAGCTGGAGGTACCCCGGGTTTGTAGCATTCCAAAGTGGCCCTAGAGCTAGTGAGGGCCAGTGAGCGCTCAGCGAGACTGCGCGTTTCCATCCATTCTCGTCTGTCTGTCGGGGAGCTCAGACGTCGGCTAGTCACCCGGGCTCTGGGGGCTCTTGGGGAACGAAGCCAGCCCTTCGGCGCCTCTGGCCTTCCGGCCCCGGTGACCTCGGGGCTGGGGTCGCCGTGCTTCTCACGCGAGCCCGGACTCGGTAACCCGGGGGAAAGAGGTCAACACACGGCAGCCCCGCCCCGCCTGCCAGGCCACTGTCAACTAGTGGCAAGGGGGGGAGGCACTTGCAAGCCCAGTGTTCCAGTGGATGCAAAAATTAGGCTGAGGGGTCCCCGCACCCGGGGATGGAGGGTCCCATACCGGGTCTTCGGGCTTTCTTGAGACTTCTCCTTCAAATCCCCACCTCAGTTGGGGTCTGCGCTGTCCATGGGGACCTTGGAACTGGGGTCTCAGGTGTCCCCAGCCCTCACCCATTTACTTGCTGGCACTTGGATGAGGAGTCCCCATAGTGGGTTCCGACCTGTCCCTCTGAGTTCCCCCAACCTTGTCTTCTTCCCCACTTCCCAACCCCCTTCCCTCCCTTTTCCCACTTTCCTAGAATCACCCCCCCCACACACTCTAGCCCGCCCCTCCCTCTCTCCTAGCTCCAGGGGGCGTGGCCAAGCGCACAAGCTGTTTATAAAGGTGGAAGTGCTTTCACCCTCATCAAGGTTCCTAGGAGCCTTCCCTGATCTTCTTTGGGGTCTCTGGCTTAAGAGACCACTCGTCCCAGCTCACTTCAGTACCTCCTCACAGCCACAGGTGAGTGCTGGGGACTCCTAGCTTGCCCTTTCTCTCCCAACAGAAAGAAAATTTTGATGCTTCCTAGGTTTTCCTAGGTGGCCACTGGTCTGGCACCTCAAAAAAGGGGGCTAAGAGTGTCCTTAGTGACCAGGCACTCTGGCTCCATAGTGGGGAGACTGAGGCCAGGGCAAGGGCAGGAATTACCCAAGGTCCCACAGCTAGTGCCAGAATTCTAGATTTTAGATGGCCCCCCTTCAAGGACTCCAGGATTCAGGCTCCGGTTCCATTCCCACTGACTCTCTGAATGCCCTGGGGCTTCCCCATCAGGGTCACCTGGGAGGCTGAAATAAGGACACGACTGTGGGAAGCTAGGATGATGTGCAGCCCCTTGTCCAAGCTGTGTGAGGAGGGCAGCTTTTCCCTGGGTGGGCAGGATGGATGGAGGGGGCAGGTTGGGTTCTTATCGGTAGTACCTTGCCTTATCTAAAAGCTACCCCTGGCTATCTTGACCCTCCCAAGGCCTGGCTTGTCAGAGCCAAGATGTGCTGGCCAGGACAAGAGATGCTGACCTGAACGGGAGTCCTGGGCACTGTCCAGGGCCCTTCCCTATCCCATTGATTGCCCTCTCTGTCCTGTACTAGGGGGCGATCTGTGTGAGACTGCCAGCTGCAGAGCTGGACTATCAGTCCCTGAAGACTCACCAGTCACATCTTTCTTGGCCTCTTACCGTCTCGCTAAGGCTGGAGGGCCTTGGGGCACCCAGTGGGCAGAAGGGAAACCAAGGCACCCCAAGACCTGTCCCTAGTTCACTCAGGGAATCAGAGCTTGAGGGACCCAGCTCTTCCAGGAGGCCTCCTTAGACAGATGGCTATATACTTACAGTAGGAGCCAGACAATCTCCCCGTCTTGGCAGGTTCTCCTGTGGGGAAACCAGGATTCAGAAGGGGAGGTTCCCCAGGTCAGATCTGGGTTTTCTCTTCTCTGAGATCTAGCTGGGCCCCCTGAATCAGAGATCATATCCCCCGGACCCCCACCCCAAGTGATATAACTGGAGCCCAGAAAGGCAAAATGACAAGTCCAAGGCCATGCCATTGAGCCTGGAACACTGGAGCTCCTCATCTCCAGTCCAGGGCACCTGGCAGGTGCCCCAGTCAGAGGCCAATGTCTTGAGGAGAATAGTCCATGAATTTGCACACCCTTTCTAGAACAAGCCTTGAGAGAAAGTATTGTCTCCACTTCTGTTAAATTTAGATTGATTCTTAATTTCCCTAATTCCAGTCTAGCATTTTCTTGCAGCCCTTATCTCATGGGAGTCTTCCATTTCTTCTCCTTTCTCTGGTGACTGGGAAATAGGGGAGGCCCAGACAGTTCATTCATTGAGAACTGAGCCCAGTGAAAACCCTGGCCTGGATTTCTGTGACCTGGATCCTCAATGTAGCTTGTCTCCGGCTGCTTTTAAACTGTGGGTCAGTTGAACTCAGAGAGCCTCATGAGGCAGAGTTGTATGGCTTAGGCAGTGACCTTCAGGTCCCCTGTCCCTTCCCTACCCTGTCCGAGGGTCTGGCCTGGCAGGATTCCCTAGACCCTGGGATGGAGCAGAAGAAAACTGAGAGTTCTGGGAGAGAATCTGACCACTCTTCAAAGTGAGGTACCTGTGACAGAAGCTGTGAACTTTCCAGGGAACTTGCCCTAAGAGGTCTGAGTCCGGGCTCTGTCACTGAGTGCTGGGTGACTTTAGGCAAGTCAATGGCCCCTCTGGAGGTCAATTTCCCCAAATGTGAAATGAGGCAAAAGGAGCACATGATCCCTAGTTCTGATGACAGTGTTTCCCCAAGTGTGGTGGATAGTACTTAAGGGGATTGGGGGTGACACATGTCGGTTATGTGTTTAATATACATTAGGGGGGGGAAAATCAAACCTGTACGTTGACACAGATATTTTTGTTTGGGATGATGCTAAGTGGGTAGATTTAAAGTTGATTTTAGAAAAGCATAAAATAAATAACAGTACAGGTGCTATATGGGAATCACAGACTGATGTGTGGAAAACCTGTTTTCTTGTCTTTTCTTTATTTTATATTTTATTATTTTATTTTATTTTATTGTAAGGGGGCTCCATGCTGGGCTTGAACTCATGACCCTGAGATCAAGACCTGAGCTGAGATCAAGAGTTGGATGCTTAACCAACTGAGCCACCTAGGTGCACCAAGGAAAACCCTGTTTTAGATTGGTGCAGGATTGTTCTGGAATTGGGCACTTTGGGTTGGGAGTATGGATCCAACACTTCCTGACTGTGTGAACTTGTGCAAGTTACTTAACCTCTCTGAGCCTCTCTGTAGTCTACCTTTTAGGCTCTGGACAGGACTGAATGAATGGCTATGAAATTATTTTATTTTATTTTACTTATTTATTTGACAGAGAGAGCAAGAGAGCACAAGCAGAGGAAACAGTAGAGGGAGAGGGAAAGGGAAAGGCAGGCTCCCCGCCGAGCAGGGAGCCCGATGTGGCGCTCAATCCCAGGACCCTGGGATCATGACCTGAGCCGAAGGCAGACGTTCAACCATCTGAGCCACCCAGGCGCCCTAGCTATGACATTCTTGGTACACGGTGGCAGCTCAACAAACAGCTTCTCCCGTCTCCTCCTCTCCTTCATGTCCAGTTAGCTGTTCTGGATAGGAAAATTTCTCCTTTCTTTGACCAGCATGCTGACACTTTAGGACATTGGTTCCTCATATCCCCCCTTCTAATAGCTTGGTCTTTTCTTCCCACCCCACCTCTCGGCAGCCATCTTGAGAACTCTACGCTGATGATGTTCTCTGCGTCCAGATTCTCCATCCCCATCTCGGCCACAGAGCTTCTCCTGGCCTCCACTGTCTTCTGCCTGGTGCTCTGGGTGGTCAGGGCTTGGCAGCCTTGGGTTCCCAAAGGCCTGAAGAGTCCCCCGGGGCCCTGGGGCTGGCCCCTGCTGGGGAACGTGCTGACCCTGGGGAAGAACCCACATCTGGCGCTGTCCAGGCTGAGCCAGCGTTATGGGGACGTGCTGCAAATCCACATTGGCTCCACACCCGTGCTGGTGCTCAGCGGCCTGGACACCGTCCGGCAAGCCCTGGTGAGGCAGGGTGAGGATTTCAAGGGCCGGCCTGACCTCTACAGCTTCACTCTGATTACTAATGGCCAAAGCATGTCCTTCAGCCCAGACTCTGGACCAGTGTGGGCTGCCCGCAGGCGCCTGGCCCAGAACGCCCTGAAAAGTTTCTCCATTGCCTCAGACCCGGGTTCCTCATCCTCCTGCTACCTGGAAGAGCATGTGAGGAAGGAGGCTGAGGCGCTCCTCAGCAGGTTGCAGGAACAGATGGCAGAGGTTGGACACTTTGACCCCTACAGATATGTAGTGGTGTCAGTGGCCAATGTCATCTGTGCCATGTGCTTTGGCAAGCGCTATGACCATGACGACCAAGAGCTGCTTAGCTTAATCAACCTGAATAATGAGTTCGGGGAGGCGGTTGCCTCTGGGAACCCTGTGGACTTCTTCCCCATCCTCCGATACCTGCCCAACCCTGCCCTGGATTTCTTCAAGGACCTGAATAAGAGGTTTTACAGCTTCATGCAAAAGCTGGTCAAGGAACACTACAAAACATTTGAGAAGGTACTGGCTGGGGAGAGGCAGGTGGGTGGTGGGAAGCAGTAGGGTTGGGGCCAGAAGGTCAGAGGTAACTGGAGAAGTAGGGGATTTGGCAGGATCTCAGGGCCTTCACCCTGGGATTTTGAGGTGAGTGGTTGAGTGGACTCCATCCTTGGCAGGGAAATAGAACTTTTCCCTGATTAGCCTTTCAATCCTTCCATCAGACAGCAATATTTACTGAATACCCAGTCTGTGCAGGACCCAAGGCCAGTGGTTGTGGGGAACAGGAAGAATTAAAAAAGTTGGTCTCCTGGCCTCATGGGAGAAAGAAGTGTAAAGAGCATGTCTAGATGACCCCTCTGTCTCAGGTGTCCCTTGAGTTGGGGCTGCCAGGATTCTGAGGCAGGAGAGAGCCTTAAAGGGGCACGAGAAGCTGGGATGGCAGCCTTGAGGTAGAGGGGTCACCTCTTGAATGAAGGTTTTAGGGACGGTGAGGAACCAGGATGGAGAGGTTGGTCTGGGTTTGGGGTCTTGTTCACCTGTGGGCCTTCCCTACCCAGGGCCACATTCGGGATATCACAGACAGCCTGATCGAGCATTGTCAGGACAAGAGGCTGGATGAGAATGCCAACATTCAGCTGTCTGACGAGAAGATTGTTAATGTTGTCTTGGACCTCTTTGGAGCTGGTATGAGCTACCCCATCGTGCCTTTCCTGTGCCCGACTGCCCTGGCCTGCCAATTGCCAATTGCTAAATCTTTCCCTTTGTTCTCCCCTGGTCAGGATTTGACACCGTCACAACTGCCGTCTCCTGGAGCCTCCTATACCTGGTGACAAGCCCCAATGTACAGAAAAAGATCCAGGAGGAGCTGGGTAGGTGGTGGCTTCCTTTAAAGTGCTCAAGGCAGAGGACCTGGCCAAGTTCTGGGCAGCCCCTTCATCCACATGGTCCTTTTTTATTTTATTTTAAAGATTTTATTTATTTGAGAGAGAGTGAGCGAGAGGAGAGCACAAGCTGGGGGAGGGGTGGGAGAGGGAGGAGCCGACTCCCACTGAGCAGGGGACCTGGTGCAGGGCTGGGCTGGATCCCAAGACCCTGAGATCATAACCTGAGCAGAAGGTAGATGCTTAACCCACTGAGCCACCCAGGCACCCCACATGGTCCTTTATGTTCTGCAGACACAGTGATTGGCAGGGCTCGGCAGCCCCGGCTCTCTGACAGGCTCCAGCTGCCCTACCTGGAGGCATTCATCCTGGAGACCTTCCGACATGCTTCCTTCGTCCCCTTCACCATCCCTCATAGGTGAGACCCCATGGATCAACTGCTGTCTGATAGTGGGCCTTCCTCCAGTCCATGTACCTGATCAGGCCCGGAGGGAGGGACAGGTATGGGAGGCAGGGGGATGTCCTTGTGGTCCTGAGCTTGACTGGGCTTCTTTCTTCCCCAGTACCACCAAAGACACAAGTCTGAGTGGCTTTTACATCCCCAAGGGACGTTGTGTCTTTGTGAACCAGTGGCAGATCAACCATGACCAGTAAGTTGAGAGGAGGCAAGGGCAACTCTGCCCTCTTCCAAGCTCCAGACCCTGCTGTCCCTGGGCCACTTGCCCATCCCCTACTCTTTGGGGCTGGGGTTCAACCCACTTGATGCTTCTGAGCCCCCAGGCTACCACTTCAGCTGCTTCTCTCTGATTACAGGAAGCTATGGGGTGACCCATCTGAGTTCCGACCAGAGCGATTTCTCACTCTTGATGGCACCATCAACAAGGCACTGAGTGAGAAGGTGATTCTCTTTGGAATGGGCAAGCGGAAGTGCATCGGTGAGACCATTGCCCGCCTGGAGGTCTTTCTCTTTCTGGCCATTCTGCTGCAGCAGGTGGAATTCAGTGTGCCCCGGGGCACGAAGGTGGATATGACCCCCATTTATGGGCTGACCATGAAGCATGCCCGTTGTGAGCACGTCCAAGTGCGGGTACGCACTTAGGGGACTGAGAGCCCTGCAGCCTAGCCTCTTGTCTACCTGGCCTATCAGGGAGGTATTCTAAGCTTCAGCCTGAAACCCACAGATATTGGTCTGGCTGGGTTTTGCTGTCTGGGCTGCAGGCAAGCCTGAAGGATCGTGCCTGCCCCCCACCCTGGACTTGCTCCTCTCCATACTGACCACGGACAGTGAACACAGCAGGGGCCACAAAGGAGCAGATGGAGCCTTCTGGAGTTGTGCTTGAGCCAGGAGGCTTGGTTGGGTTAGGAAGTCCTAAGCCCCAGGAAACCTCGAGGGAATGCTCTAGAAGCCCCTAAGCCCAGGGGCTGGCTGATTTTCTGTGAGGGCTGACTGGCTTGAGAAACATTTAGAGCAGGCCACACCAGGGCCTGTCCAATTTCTTTGACACTTAGGAGCTGTCATGAGTGAAGGGAAGAGGCAGCTTAGGATACTACTGAGCAATCTGACCACATGGTTCCGGGACACTGTGATGCCTTTTTCTGCTGTCCCCACAGGCAGGAACAGGGCTGCCTCCTGGCCTTGGAAGGCCCCTGTTCCTGTCCAAGAGGGGCTGCGGACTTGCGCATAAGAGGAGTAGAGAGCAGAGGGAATGTCCAGATTCAGGCACCAGAGACCAGGTCTCTATGCCCTATATAAAAATGCCTTTTAAAAAAGTTTGTACACAAGAAGCTTTTTTTCAACCTGCACTGTACTGGCATGTCTGCATTTATCATATATAAAAGCTTAAGAACAATTTATTGAGTGCAATAGAGAAAATTCTAACCCAAATATCCAGAAATGTGTAAGAAACCTTTACCTAAGCTAAATAAAGATATTATCCAGAAGTCCTATTGTGGAAATTTTTTGACTTTTTTAAAAAAGATTTATTTATTTATTTATTTATTTATTTATTTATTTATTTATTTATAGCACAAGCAGGGGGAGGAGTAGAGTGAGAGGGAGAAGCAGGCTCCCCACTTAGCAGGGAGCCTGACATGGGGCTCGATTCCAGGACCCTGAGCTGAGGGCAGCTGCTTAACTGAATGAGCCACCCAGGTGCCCCAGCTTTCTGGCTCTTGAATGAATCCATCACGCCTCACCTGCCCAGTCTGAGCCCATTCTCATGTTGGGTTCAACTACGGGAGGAAGGAGAGGAAGAGGAAGCAGTGAAGAGGTGAAGGCATGGCTCTCAGAAGCTCACCATCCAGTTGGGGCACAAGACTACCACTTCACTGCCTTCCCCTAATTGATCACACATTGATGAAGTGCATTCTCTAGACCAGGCACTGGGGACTATAAAGCAAATAAAACGTGGTCTCTGCCTTCAAAAGCCTCCCAAATTGGTTGGAGGAACCAACTCATAAACACATCATCCAATTCCTTGTGATGAGAGCTCTACCAGACAGATGCATACAGGAAGGCGAGGCCCAGAGCTGGAGCTGGAGGAGTGGGTGCAAGGGGATGCTGCAGATCTTGGGGATAGCTATGCAGATGCCTCCTCAAAAATGAGAGGCAGGGGGCACCTGGGTGGCTCAGTCTGTTAAGCCTCTGACTCTTGATTTCGGCTCAAGTCTTTTTTTTTTTTTTTAAGATTTTATTTGTTTATTTGGGAGAGAGAGAATGAGAGAGAGAACATGAGAGGGGGGAGGGTCAGAGGGAGAAGCAGACTCCCTGCCGAGCAGGGAGCCCGATGCGGGACTCGATCCCAGGACTCCAGGATCATAACCTGAGCGGAAGGCAGTCGACCAACCAACTGAGCCACCCAGGCGCCCTCGGCTCAAGTCTTGATCTCAGGGTCGTGAGATAGAGCCCTGCCTCTGTGCTCAGCGGGGCATCTGCTTGAGATTCTCCCTCCCTCTCCTTCCGCCCCTCCCCTCCACCCACATGTTCTCTTTCTCCGTCTAAAATAAATAAATATATCTTTAAAAAAAGAGAAATGAACAATACTAAACTGCAATGTCTAGGAATACACACTTGGTGACGAATCTTACAGTAAGAATAAGGAAATGATTACTATCAGGATATGGACAGTGGTTTGGCCTGGTGTGGCCTGCTCTAAATGTTTCTCAAGCCAGTCAGCCCTCACAGAAAATCACATCCTCTGGTGGGGAGGGAGTGTGTTATAATTGAAATCGGACACGTAGAGGGCTTCCAGGATGACCGATAAAGTTCCATTTCTTAACTGGGTGTGTTTCAAAGATACTTGCTTTATAAAAATAAGAAAAAACACAATTAACTTGAACTGCTCTTTGCTTTTTAGAAATGTAATTAATGGGGCGCCTGGGTGGCTCAGTTGGTTAAGCGACTGCCTTCGGCTCAGGTCATGATCCTGGAGTCCCAGGATCGAGTCCCGCATCGGGCTCCCTGCTCAGCAGGGAGTCTGCTTCTCCCCTTGACCTTCCTCCTTCTCATGCTCTCTCCCTACCATTCTCTCTCTCTCTCAATAAATAAATAAAAATCTTTAAAAAAAAAAAGAAATGTAATTAATATATATGGTCAATGCCCTTCAACCAAAGACCACCAAGAACACACCTGTAGTGAAGCAAGCTGGGTTTATTAGTCATTGCTGTGAGGGAGAACGCACACCATAGGAAACTGTGGGGTGTCTCAATAAGAGGAATGTTAGAACTTCTTACACAATTTGGGCTTTGGGTGAGTAATTTAGGGGGGGTTAGCTCTCGATTGGATGCTGTTAGAAAGTGGAGACAATTCTATGATTGGGTATTTTATGGGTAGCACTGTGACCTAACTTCTACCTATGCTTAGACAAAATTATGAAGTGGCCTTGTTTTTTTTTCCATTTTTAAAAATTTTGGTAAAATACATATAAATGAAATGTACCATCTTAACCATGTTTAAGTGTACAGTTCGGTGATATTAAATACATTTATAATGCTATGCAATCATCCCCACCATCCATCCCCACAACACTTGTCATCTTGTAACTCTAAACCTCTACCCATTAAACAAAACTCCCTATTTTCTCCTTCCTGCGGCCCTTCTACTTCTGTCTCTACAAAAAGTGACCTTATTTGTTTCATTTTATCATGTTCTCAGAATAACCTTGTATGATGTTGGTGTTCTGTAAGAAAAGAGCCAGAGAAGAGGGGAACAAAGGAGACTGTGAGCATTAGACCAACCTGCGATAATAGTGAGGTCCAGCTGTGATCAGTATATTATTTCCAGCTATTGGGGGCTGTTCTTTCTCGGTCCTCCTTTTGGGTCAAGTGCAGACAAAGTTAGGTCTTAGGACATTCATTCCATTATTATATCCAGATTTTCATCATTGCCAAGGTTTTGCAGATTAAAATAAATTTGCTGATTAAGAAGAACATCCACTGAATGTCATCTTTTTTTTTTTTTTAAAGATTTTATTTATTTATTTGAGAGAGAGAGAATGAGAGACAGAGAGCATGAGAGGGAGGAGAGTCAGAGGGAGAAGCAGACTCCCCGCCGAGCAGGGAGCCCGATGTGGGACGCGATCCTGGGACTCCAGGATCATGACCTGAGCCGAAGGCAGTCGCTTAACCAACTGAGCCACCCAGGCGCCCTCCACTGAATGTCATCTATAATTGACCCAGGATTCATCTTTTCTTCTTCTGTTGTAGGATGAGTTATTGGACCATCTGATGTGACGATGGCTGTCCTACCGATGGTGCCCTAGTGGTTCTTAGGATTCCAGATAGGCTATATAGGCCAATTGTAATATAGGCAATTATCAGAATCAAAATGACTATTAGTCTTTTGATAGGTCTGGAAGCCAAGGTCCTAGATTATGAAATCCAGGCAATCAAAACGTGTCCCAAAATCAAGTTGGCCTATTTTAGAGAGTCATTTTCTTTTTTGCCTTACAGTATTTCCACAGATGCAGCAGGGAGTGTTTGCTATAACCCAAATTTCCCCTTGACTGATTTACAAGGGAATCATGGCTATACAATTATCTCTGACAACTCTAGCTAATGAATTTAGACCAGTTTGTTTAGAACAGAAGTGTGGTGATATAGAACTTATGATAGGTCAGCGACAAGCTTTGAACTTTTTCTACTTGTACTAGTCCTATTGTTGTTGCTGGTGGAGTGCACATGAAGAGGGAATCAGTTATCCCTTCTGGAATGTCTCCTGAATAATCTATGCTTGCCTCATTTTGGGGGCTTCTGAGTGTCTTTTAAGGGAAGCATGTATACTTTAGTGTCTGTAAAAATACAGGCACATGAAAAGATGCTCGACCTCACTCATCATCAGGGAAATGCAAATCAAAACCACGGTATATCACCTCACACCTGTCAGAATGGCTATTACAAAAAGACAAGAAATAACAAGTGTTGGCAAGGATGCAGAAAAAAAGAAACCCTCATGCACTGTTGGTGGGAATGTAACTTGGTACAACTACTATGGAAAACAGTATGAAGTTTCCTCAAGAAATTGAAAATAGAAATTACCATAGGATCTAGTAATCCCACTCCCAGGTATTTATTTGAAGAAAACAAAAACACTAACTCAAATATACATTCCCATATTTGTTGCAGCATTACTTAACAATTGCCAAGATATGGGGGTACTTGGGTGGCTCAGTCAGTTAGGCATCCGCCTTTGGATTCTGTCGTGATCTCAGGGTCCTGAGATGGAGCCTTGCATCGGGCTCCCTGCTCGGCAGGAAGTCTGCTTCTCCCTCTCCCTCTGCCCCTCCCCTCTGCTCATGCTCACACACACACTGTCTCTCAAATGAATAGATAAAACCTTAAAAAAGAATAGCCAAAGATATGGAAGCAACCTGAGTGTCCATTGATAGATGAATGGTTAAAGATGTGTGGAACACTACTTATCCATAAAATAAATGAAACCTTGCCACTTGTGATGACATGGATGGACCTTGAGGGCATTATGCTAAGTGAAATAAGTCAGATAGTGAAAGAGGAGTACTGCATGATTTCACTTACAAGCGGGATCTAAAAATCAAAGCAAACAAATGAAACAAAATTCAGACTCAGAGAAAACAGAGCTGTGGTTGTGAGACAGGAAGGGGATTAGGGGTGTGAAATGGGGAAGAGGATCAAGAGGTACATACTTCCAGTTATAAAATAAATAAGTCATGGGGATGTAAAGTGCAGCAGAGGGAATATAGTCAATAACATTGTATTGACTTTGTATGGTGGCAGAAGATAACTAGACCAGTTTGTAATGTATACAAATGTTGAATCTCTGTGTTATAAACATGAAACTAATAGAATATTGTATGTCAATTATACTTAAAAAAACAAAACAAACAAACAAACAAAAGAAATACTATGTATTTCTGTGGAAATGTAAAATGATGTTGCTACCTTGGAAAATAGTTCCTTAAAAAGTTAAACCCAGGGTCACCATATAACCCAGTAATTCCACTGTTAGGTATATACCCAAGAGAACTGAAACATATATCCACACAAAAATGTGTACATGGGTGTTCATAACACTGTTATTCATAATAACCTAAAAAAGAAATAATTCAAATATTAATCACCTGATGAATGGATAAATAAAATGTGGTATAACCATACAACAGAATACTCTTTCTCTCTCTCTCTCATGTAAATAAATAAAATCTTAAAAAAAAGCTAGTTTCAAAAAATAAATAAATAAAAAATTTTAAAAAGTAAAAGCTAGTTTCATTAATCTTTTCTATTATTTTTCTGGTCTTTGTTTTGTTTATTTCTGGTCTGATCTTTGTCTTTTAATTCTGCTAACTTTGGCCTCAGTTTCTTCTTTTTCTAGTTCCTTGGGGTATAAAATTAAGTAGTTTATTTGAAATCTTTCTTTTTTCTTAATGTAAGCATTTATTGCTGCGAACTTCCCTCTTTGAACTGCTTTTGCAACATCACATAGGTTTTGGTGTACTGTGGTCCATTTTCATTTGTTTCAGGGTATTTTTTGATTTCCCTTTGGATGTCTTCTTTGATCCATGGGTTGTTCAGGAGTGTGTTGTTTAATTTCTACATATTTGTTCATTTTTCCCTCTTTCCTCCTTTCAATTATTTCTAGTTTTATACCAATGTGGCTGGAAAAGATACTTGGTATTATTTCAATATCCGTAAATTTGCCATGATTTGTTTGGTGACCTATCATATGATCTATCCTGGAGAATGTTTCTTGTGCACTTGAATAAAATATGTATTCTGCTACTACTGGATGGAATCTTCTATATATGTGTGGTAGGTCTATTTGGTATAAAGTATGGTTCAAGTCCAGTGTTTCCTTGTTGATTTTCTCTCTGGATGGTCTATCCATTGTTGAAAGTGGGATATTGAAATCATCTACTATTATTACATTGCTGTCTACTTTTCCCTTCAGATCTGTTAGTATTTACTTAATATATATTAGGTGCTCTGATGTTGGGTACAATATATATATATTTCTGATTATTATATCTTATTGATGAATTGACCCCTTTGACATTATATAATGACCTCTTTGTCTCTCTTTTTTTTAAAGATTTTATTTATTTATTTGACAGAGATAGAGAGAGAGCACAAGTAGGCAGAGTGGCAGGCAGAGGGAGAGGGAGAAGCAGGCTCTCCCCTGAGCAGAAAGCTGGTTGTGGGGCTTGATCCCAGGACCCCAGGATCATGACCTGAGCCGAAGGCAGCCACTTAACTGACTGAGCCACCCAGGGGCCCATCTTTGTCTCTTGTTAGCATTTTTGGCTTGAAGCCTTGTTTTGTCAAAATACTTATGCTGTCTTTTGGTTTCTACTTGCGAGGAATATCTTTTTCCATCCCTTCACTTTGAGTCTTTGTGTGTCCTGAAAACTGAAGTGAGTCTCTTGTAGGCACTGTATAGTTAGGTCTTGTTTTTTTATTTTTTTATTTTTATTTTTTTTAAGTTTTTTTATTTATTTGACAGAGAGAGAGAGACAGTGAGAAAGGGAACACAAGCAGGGGGAGTGGGAGAGGGAGGAGCAGGCTCCCTGCCCAGTGGTGCGTCTGCTTCTCCCTGTATACCTCTATACCTCGCCCTCTGTTCCTCTCTTTCTCTGTCTCTCTCTCAAATAAATAAATAAAATCTTTAAAAAAAAATCTAGGGCGCCTGGGTGGCTCAATCGTTAAGCATCTGCCTTCAGCTCAGGTCATGGTCCCGGGGTCCTGGGATCGAGCCCCGCATCCGGCTCCTTGCTCAGCGGGAAGCCTGCTTCTCCCTCTCCCACTCCCCCTGCTTGTGTTCCCTCTCTCGCTGTGTCTCTCTCTGTCAAATAAATACATAAAATCTTAAAAAAAAAATCTAACTTCTGGGCGCCTGGGTGGCTCAGTCGGTTAAGCGACTGCCTTCGGCTCAGGTCATGACCCTGGAGTCCCGGGATCGAGTCCCACATCGGGCTCCCTGCTCAGCAGGGAGTCTGCTTCTCCCTCTGACCCTCTTCCCTCTCGTGCTCTCTATCTCTCATTCTCTCTCAAATAAATAAATAAAATCTTTAAAAAAAAAAAATCTAACTTCTGTTTCCCAGCTGCCTTTTCCTATACCCTAAGTTTCTTTTATCTTTATCTTATTTTTTATTTTTCCTACATTGTTTTAAATAAATCAACAAGGTTTCTTTACTTTAGGAAGGACTAAGATTCTTAGTGATTATCATGCTTTTATTATGTTAGTTTTATTTTTTTTAAAGATTTATTTATTTATTTGAGAGAGCAAGAATGAGAGAGAGTACATGAGAGGGTGTTGGGTCAGAGGGAGAAGCAGGCTTCCTGCTGAGCAGGGAGCCCGATGTGGGACTCGATCCCGGAATTCCGGAATCATGACCTGAGCCGAAGGCAGTCGTTTAACCAACTGAGCCACCCAGGCGCTCTTATGTTATTGTTTTAAATATTGCTATTATTATTCTGATTAATGAGGTGGCCAAAATAACATATTCCTTGTTCTTGAGGCCAGTTTGTTCTAACAACTTTTTTTTTTTAAAGAATTTATTTATTTATTTGAGAGAGAGAGAGAATGAGAGATAGAAAGCACGAGAGGGAAGAGGGTCAGAGGGAGAAGCAGACTCCCTGCTGAGCAGGAAGCCTGATGTGGGACTCGATCCTGAGGCTCCAGGATCATGACCTGAGCCGAAGGCAGTTGCTTAACCAACTGAGCCACCCAGGCGCCCTGTTCTAACAACTTTTTTTTTTTTTTTAAAGATTTTATTTATTTGACAGAGAGAGATAGCGAGAGCAGGAACACAAGCAGGGGGAGGGGGAGAGGGAGAAGCAGGCTTCCCGTGGAGCAGGGAGCCCAATGTGGGACTCGATCCCAGGAACCTGGGATCATGACCTGAGCCGAAGGCAGACGCTTAACGACTGAGCCACCCAGGCGCCCTTCTAACAACTTTTTTAACACTGCCTTTCCAAATCCAAAATAATGAAGTATTAAGTCTTTGAGATAGTGGTGGATGGTTATACAACCTTGCAAATGCACTTAATGTCATTTAATTGAACCCTTAAAAATGGTTAAAATAGTAAATTTTATGTTATGTGTATTTTACCACAATTTTTATTTATTTTTTGTAAGATTTTATTTATTTAGGGGCGCCTGGGTGGCTCAGTCGTTAAGTGTCTGCCTTCAGCTCAGATCATGATCCCAGGGTCCTGGGATCGAGCCCCACATTGGGCTCCCTGCTCGGCGGGAAGCCTGCTTCTCCCTCTCCCACTCCCCCTGCTTGTGTTCCCTTTCTCGCTGTGTCTCTGTCAAATAAACAAGTAAAATCTTAAAAAAAAAAAAAAAAAAGAAAAGAAAAATCTTTATACAAAATTAAAAATAAGAACTTGGGGGTCGCCTGGGTGGCTCAGTTGGCTAAGCGTCTGCCTCTGGCTTAGGTCTGATCCCAGGGTCCTGGGATTGAGCTCCACATAGGGCTCTCTGCTCAGCAGGGAGCCTTCTTTTCCCTTTCTCTCTGTCTGATGCTCTGCCTGCTTGTGCTCTCTCTCTCTGTTAAATAAATAAATAAAATCTTTAAAAAATACACTACTTGCTTTTATTTTTTTTCTTAATATTTTTATTTATTTATTTATTTGACAGAGAGAGACATCAAGAGAGGGAATACAAGCAGGGGGAGTTGGAGAGGGAGAAGCAACCTCCTCACTGAGCAGGGAGCCCGATGCAGGGACTCGATCCCAGGACCCTGGGATCATGACCTGAGTCGAAGGCAGATGCTTAACAACTGAGCCACCTAGGCACCCCCTACTTGGCTTTTAAAAATACCCTTTGGAATAAATTCTCATGGCTAGCTCTTGGGAAGACAAGAGTTATGGTTTAGAAGTGCTTTTTAAACTCTTCTCAAGGTTCTAATTGGTATTTTTACATTAGAGTCACAAGATGCTTGAACTCTAGAGTCCTAGAAGCTACTGTGCAACTGCTATTTTGAAAATTGATTCATCAAATGATATTGCAGAGAAAGAAAGTGGATTAATTATTTGAACAACTGATGATCAACTGGACACAGAGAAGGAATAAACACAGCTGTGAAGATCTGGGGACATGAATCCAAATTTAGTGGTCTCTTCTTAGATTTAAAAAAAGGATCAAAAGGGAGATTTTAAAAAGGACAAACAGGGTGCTGCTTCTGATAATAAGTATCGAGGGCATAATATTAGGGCTTATGTTCATTGAAATCATATCAATGTCAATGATAGTGCTGAGAAATATTGTTCTTTTAAATCATAAGACCTGGGAAACTTTGCAGATGCTTAACCAACTGAGCCACCCAGGTGCCCCGGTATCAAAATGTTAATGAGGGAAGTTGAACCCTTACCTCACACCACTTACAAAAATTAACTCAAAATGGATCAAAGAGCTATATATGAGTTAAAATCATAAAACTCCTAGAAGAAAAACACAGATGCACATCTTTGACAGTAGTTTCTTAGATTTGACATCAAGAGGCACCTGGGTGGCTCAGTCGGGTGGACATCTGACTCTTTTTTTTTTTTTAAAGATGTTATTTATTTATTTGAGAGAGAGAGACTGAGAGACAGAGAGCACGAGAGGGAAGAGGGTCAGAGGGAGAAGTGATGCGGGATTCGATTCCGGGACTCCAGGATCATGACCTGAGCCGAAGGCAGTCGCTTAACCAACTGAGCCACCCAGGCGCCCTGGACATCTGACTCTTGATGTTGGTAGGCTTGGGTCATGATCTCAGGGTCATAGGATTGAGCCCTGCGATAGGCTCTGCACTCAGGAGGGTCTGCTTCTCTCTCTCTCTCCCTCTGCCCCTCCCCCCTGATTTTGCTCTTCCTCAAATAAATAAATAAATCCTAAAAAATAAAAAAAGATATGACATCAAAAGCACAACAATAGAAAAAATAAATTGGACTTCATCAAAATAAAAAAAACTTAGTTTTTTTTTTTAAAGATTTTATTTATTTATTTGACAGAGAGACAGCAAGAGCAGGAACACAAGCAGGGGGAGTGGGAGAGAGAGAAGCAGGCTTCCCGCCGAGCAGGGAGCCCGATGCGGAGCTTGATCCCAGGACCCTGGGATCATGACCCGAGCCGAAGGCAGATGCCCAATGACTGAGCCACACACGTGACCCCAAAAACTTAGTTTTTTATTTATTTTTATTTTTTATTTTATTTTTTTAAAAGATTTTATTTAGGGCGGGTCGCAGCAGCTCGGGCGGCGGAAGGAGCGGTGGCGGCCAGGCAGCCCAGCTTGGCGAAGGGTCTCGGCGCGCCGCGGCCCGCAAGCACCCGGCCCGCGCCGCCCCGCCGCCACGATGCCCAAAAGGAAGGTCAGCTCCGCCGAGGGGGCGGCGAAGGAGGAGCCCAAGAGGAGGTCGGCGAGGCTGTCCGCTAAACCTGCTCCTGCAAAAGTGGAAACGAAGCCAAAAAAGGCGGCAGGAAAGGATAAATCTTCAGACAAGAAAGTGCAAACAAAGGGGAAAAGGGGAGCAAAGGGAAAACGTGCTGAAGTGGCTAACCAAGAAACGAAAGAAGACTTACCTGCGGAAAACGGAGAAACTAAAAATGAGGAGAGTCCAGCCTCCGATGAAGCAGGAGAGAAAGAAGCCAAGTCTGATTAATACCATAAACCACGTCTTATCAGTAGTGGTCCCTGTCGCCCTTCTTGTACAATCCAGAGGAATGTTTTTATCAACTATTTTGTAAATGCAAGTTTTTTAGTAGCTCTAGAAACATTTTTAAGAAGGAGGGAATCCCACTTCATCCCATTTTTTAAGTGTAAGTGCTTTTTTTCAAGAGGTGAAATCATTTGCTGGTTGTTTATTTTTCGGTACAACCAGGAAATAGTGGGATATTGAATGTGGGAGGCTTTGATTGTCTTGGGTGTCAGCTCAACATTCCATAGCTGGGGTAGTTTTTATATCCTATAATACCAAGCATACTAAATGGCAATTTGGAGTCGGTCGTGCATTTACTATGTCTTGAATATTTTAAATTACTTCTATTCCCATGTTGTTTTTGGTAGAATTGTTTCCTAAAGAAAACCACTCCTAGATCTTGTCTCTCCCGGTCCGAATTCTTGTGCACTCTGTAACATCTTGGTCGTGGTAGTCCAGGTTTCCTAGTAACTCTGTTAATGTGCTGTGCAAGATTGAGAACTTGAGTATGTAGTATATATGATATCAAATTGTGAATTAATGGGACTTAACAATGTAACAGTGTATCAGCATTTGAAGATCTTGGTACTTGATATACTGTTAAGGAAAATTTGCCTCCAAATTTTAAGCTGGAAGGTCACTGGAATAACTTTTAGAAAAGAATCACAACTACATGGTTTTTTTAGATTTTCAGTACGTATGTTAAGAATTGTGTACAAATTGAAACGTCTGTACTGATCCTCAAAACCTATAAAAAATTAAGAATTTTGTGAAGCAAAAAAAAAAAGATTTTATTTATTTGAGAGAGCGAGAATGAGAGAGAGAGAGAGCACATGAGAGGGGGGAGGGTCAGAGGGAGAAACAGACTCCCCGCTGAGCAGCAGGGAGCCCAATGCGGGACTCCATCCTGGGACTCCAGGATCATGACCTGAGCCGAAGGCAGTCGCTTAACCAACTGAGCCACCCAGGTGCCCAAAACTTAGTTTTTTAAAGGACACTATTGAGAGAGTGAAAAGACAATACACAAAAGGGAAAAAATATTTGCAAATTACATATCTGATAAGAGACTAATATCCAGGGGCGCCTGGGTGGCTCAGTCGTTAAACGTCTGCCTTCGGCTCAGGTCATGATCCCGGGGTCCTGGGATCGAGCCCCGCATCGAGCTCCTTGCTCAGCGGGAGGCCTGCTTCTCCTTCTCCCACTCCCCCTGCTTGTGTTCCCTTTCTCGCTGTCTCTCTCTGTCAAATAAATAAAAATCTTAAAAAAAAAAGAGAGACTAATATCCAGAATATATAATGAAATTTTCAACCCAGTATCAAAAAGACAAACAACCCAATTAATACATTAACAGAAGACTTGAAGAGATGTTTCTCCAGTGAAGATATACAAATGGTCAAGAACACAAAAAGAGGGCGCCTGGGTGGCTCAGTCATTAAGCGTCTGCCTTCCGCTCAGGTCAGGATCCCAGGTTCTGGGACTGAACCCCGCATCAGGCTCCCTATCCTCCCTCTCCCACCCCCCCTGCTTGTGTTCCCTTTCTTGCTGTGTCTCTGTCAAATAAATAAATAAAACCTTAAAAAAAAAAACACAGAAAGATGCTCAATATCATTAAGCACTCAGAAAATGCAGATCAAAATCACAATCAGATCACTTCATAGTCAATAGAATAGCTATAGTAATCATCATCATAAAGAGGAAAATAAAAAGTGTTGGGAGGGTGTGAAAAAATTAGAACCCTTATATATTGCTGATGGGAATATAAAAAAGCAGCGCTGAGGAAAACAGTTTGTTGGCTCCTCAGTAAATTAAACACAGAATTACCATATGACCCAGCACTTGCACTCCTAGATATATACCCAAAAGAACTGAAGACAGGTGTTCAAAAACTTGTACACAAATGTTCATAGCAGCAATATCCACAATAGCGAAGAGATGGAAATAGCCCAAATATCCATCATCTGATTGTTAAATAGAATGTGGTGTGTCCACACAATGGAATATTATTCAGCCATAAAAGGAATGAAGTGCTGGTACGTATTACAACACGGATGAATCTTTAGAATACATTTAGAATACGTAATGAAAACATTATTCTAAGTGAAAGAAGCCAGACACAAAGGCCATGTGTTGTAATAATCCCATTTATATGAAACATCCAGAGTCAGCAAATCCATAGAGACAAAAAGCAGATTAGTGATTGACAGGGGTGGCAGGGAGGGAGGAATGGGGAGTGACTGCTTGATGGATATGGGGTTTCCTTTGAGATGATGAAATGTTCTGGAATTAATGGTGATGGTTGCACAACATTGTAAATATACTAAATGTCACTAGTGGTAAATTTTATGTTACATGTATTTTACCTCAATAAAAATTTTTTTAGGGGCGCCTGGGTGGCTAAGTAGGTTGTGTCCGCCTTGGGGTCAGGTCATAATCCCAGGGGCCTGGGATTGATCCCTGTGTAGGGCTCCCTGCTCAGTGGGGAGTCTGGTTCTCTCTCTTCCTCTGCCCCGCCCCCTGCCCCCGCTCATGCTCTGTCTCTTGTTTTCTCTCTCAGATAAATACATAAAATCTAAAAAAAAAATTTTTTTTTTAATGTACAGAAAAAAAAAAACCTCATAAGGAGTGGGACCCTTGTAGAATGTTGAAGTTGCTCACTTTTGGCCTAAGAACCAATCAGAATCTTTCCCCCATGTCTGTTAGGGCCATTTAGAATCTCTCCATTTCTGTTAGAGCCAATCAAAATCTCCTGCATTGGGCGCCTGGGTGGCTCAGTGGGTTGGGCGACTGTCTTCGGCTCAGGTCATGATCCTGGAGTCCCGGGATTGAGTCCCGCATCGGGCTCCCTGCTCGGCAGGGAGTCTGCTTCTCCCTCTGACCCTCTTCCCTCTCGTGCTTTCTATCTCTCATTCTCTCTCTCTCTCAAATAAATAAATAAAAATCTTTAAAAAAAAAAAATCTCCTGCATTTACTCAGTGTAAAATCTATCAGACCTGCTCAAGCATTGCTGGGAGACTTTCTGAATGAACACAGGGCTCCCTTGGCTGGCAAGTTCAATTCATTCAGTTTTGTCTTTCTGTTGGTCTTGGTATCTTATCAATAGTGCAAATCTCAGCTCCTCCATTTACTGTATGACCCTCAGCAAATGACTTCAACTCCTTGAGTCCACATTTTCTCAACTATGAAATGGGGTAATACTTCCTACCTGTTCTATCGTGTACATGTTGGATATGGTATGATAAAGTTGGTGAAGCTACAGGAGGAAACAGGAATGAGGCTTGGAAGGAAGAAATTTGTATCCATGGGTCTTTGCACAGCACGCAGGTCCACAAGAGAAGGGCCTTGTTACTTGCTTTGGTCAATAGAATGAATTGTAAGTGATGGCGTGCTGGTTCTGAGCACACCGCTGTCCTTTCTTGGGCTCCTGACACCATCAGGTGCAAACCCAGGCTAGCTTTCTAGAGAATACAAGACTGTGTGGAACAGAGAGCAGTCAAGGCCACCTTAAACCAGACAGACCCTGGCCAGCCTTCCTTGAGGAAGTCCAGCAAAGACAAGCCAAGCCTAGCCCAAACAGCAGAACTATCCGACTAATCCACAAACTAGTTAGCTGAATAAATGGTTGTTATTTTATTTATTTTACTTTTATGTATTTTTTATTTTAAAGATTTTGTAAAATTTTTTATTTGAGAGAGACAGAGATAGCGACAGATAGCAATAGAGAGAGCATGAGAGGGGAGGAGAGGGAGAAGCAGGCTCCATCCCAGGACCCTGGGATCAGGACCTGAGCCGAAAGCAGATCCTTAACTAACTGAGCCACCCTGGCGCCCCAAATGGTTGTTATTTTATTTATTTTTTTATTTTTTTAAAGATTTTATTTATTTATGTGACAGAGAGAGACACAGTGAGAGAGGGAACACAAGCAGGGGGAGTGGGAGAGGGAGAAGCAGGCTTCCCACCGAGCAGGTTGCCCAATGTGGGGCTCGATCCCAGGACCCTGGGATCAGGACCTGAGCTGAAGGCAGACGCTTAACGACTGAGCCACCCAGGTGCCCCATCCATCCCAGTTTTTAACATGAGGGATGAGCACAAGGTTGGCATTCCATACATCCTTGTTGATTTCTTCCCTCATAATTTCTCTGTTGGTTGGGTGACTTGGAGCCTCTTATTTTGCTTGTCTGGGTTTACTTTTCTCCTGTTTAAACCTCTGTCTGCTTTTCCACAGGATTGGGTCATAAATAAATAAAGATGTAAATTGCCCTGTTGGGGCTTTTGCTCCTGAGCATTTCTTTCTTTTTTTTTAGAGAGGGGAGAAGGGGCAGAAGGAGACAGAGAATCTTAAGCAGGCTCCATGGCCAGTGCGCAGGCCTGACAGGGGGCCCAATCTCATGACCCTGAGAGGAAGTCACGAGTCAGATGCTCAACCAACTGGTGCCCCAATTCCTGAGTGATGTAAGAGAGATGTTAGGGTTCAAGCCAATCCCAAGAAAGAATTTGTGAGACATCTTTGGTGAAAAAGGGTGTTTTTAATCAAAGCATGGGACCGGACCCGTGGGCAGAAACCTGCACTGGAATTGTGAGGAATGGCCCGTTATATACTTTCAAGTTGGAAGGGGGTTAGGGATAGCTTAAGCCTCCCAGGTATTTTGGAAACAAGGTTTCCAGGATCCCAGGGGGCTAGCTATTGTTAGGTCATTTATTACTATTTAGTAAAAACTTAGTCATGAGACCCTTCAGATGTATATCGGTGGGTCATATGCTTGGAGGATGACTGCCAAAATGTATCTTGGGGGGTAGAGGTAAAGCAAATTTCCAAAGGAATTTTTATGTTAAAGTAGACCTACAGGATCCTGAAGATTGAGCCTAAGATTGCCTTTTGCCCTTAGCAAAGTATTAACATCGAGACAGCTGAGTTCCTAGAAGAATGTCCCTCTGCCTGTTTCAAGGACTTGTCAATGGAAGTAGGAAGGAAA